AAAATATACGAAGGGGAAAACTTGTACCACAAAATATCTTTGATTTATTATCTGATTGTCTTTTGAAGTGCTTGTGATAGTCCCAATTGTTAAATTGAGAAACAAATGATTTGAGAAGAATATGGCTGGTCTTGCAAATGAAGATAAATATATCTCAACAAGGAGGATAAAAATCATTGACATTTCATTGCAGTGTTTCATTATCTGTTTCACATAAAATAATCTGACAGTTGTCTACTAGGTGACATCCCGAGGCTCCCAAGAATGGAATGGTTAACGGAAAAGGCAATGAAGGTTTTGGCACAATGACACAAAGCAAGGAAGTGTGTGGTAGTCATTAGAAGACAAAAATTTAGGTAAACATCATCGTTAGTTGGCAGATGTGGACTGAATATTGAACAGTCTGGGTTTGGAAGTGATTGTAGGAATACTCACCCCACTATTCTATTTTTCACAAGTGGTCAACTTAGCAAGCATGGGCTACATAAATAAAAGTTTGGGTCCCACAGTGCATTCCAGGCTGACTGGCTGAAATTTGATGGGACTGGAGCAATGTGAGCTATGAAAGCAATCAAGCCTGGACAGCACTGCAGCTGAGCACATGAATGAAAGCCACTGGCCCTTGTGTTCATCACTGTATGATACAGGAGAATGGTGTTAATTGAAAAGGAGTTCAAAGTAAAGTATGTTAAAAAGTTTAGTTCATAGTAGATGGTCAAATATTGAATGGTCATTAAAAATACAGAATCCTTCATAATTCCTTTTCTGGTTGTATTCTAGATTTGTGATGGTCACAGAGGCATGGCACCTTAACAATGTGGTCATTTTAGGCCAAACTTGTCATCACTATACACAGACAGACAGACAGACAGACAGACAGACAGACACACACACACACACACACACACACACACACACACACACACACACACACACACACCTATATTTAATTTAAAGACCATGCCTTTCCATTTGAGAAGCAACTCAAACAAGAAGACAACCTGAGATATCACTGGAAGAAGATAGACTTCTTAGCATTTATACTGATTACCAGAGAGAAAGCAATGTTTAGCAGTAATACAATATAAGCCATTCATATAGCAAGTGTGTTTTAATGTTTCTGTTTTCTGCTGAGAAATGTACACATAATGGAAATAATAATTCCTAATGGTTCACCTTGCTCTCTCATAATCGAGTAAAGGTTTTCAAATTGTGCTTTCAGAAGTAATTGTGAGCTTTCTATGTCTCTATTTCTCTCGTTCTCTCTTTCTCTCTCTCTCTTTCTTTCGTTGTCAGTCATGGTGCTTGAACTCAGGGACTGGGCTCTGTCCCTGAGCTCTTTTGCTGAAGGCTAGAGCTCTACCACTTGAGCCACAGATCCACTTCTGTTTTTCACACTAGAAAATTGGAGGTAAGAGACTCATTGACTTCCGCGGCTAGGCTGGCTTTGAAAAACCTTGATCCTCAGATCTCAGGCTCCTGAGTAGCTAAGATTACAGATGTGAGCCACTGGTGCTCAGTGCAACTGTGAACACTCTAAGTGCAAGTTTTGTATATCACTCATTTTTGTGTCTCCTTGGTGTCTAGCATTGTGCCAGTAACAGAAGAATTCTTCAATAAGCAGTTGTTGACCTAAAGATTATATAATGCATCTTTACCAGTGAAATGATTCCTCAAGAAAATGTGCTTATCCTCTTCCAGAAATTTTAATTGATGATACTTACTATTTCCACTAACAAGAAAGTAGCATAGTTATATAACAAACTAATTTTCAGACATATAAACACATTTTATATTACCATATAGAAGCTTAAATGAACTTCAGAGTATAAATGGATAAAGCACTCTGATTCAATACTTTTCCTAAAATTATTATTATACAAAAAGGCTACCTCAATGAGGAGATTCTATATAAATTATATTTCTTTATTATTAACTTGAAAACAATTTAGAATTTAAGTGAAACTAGGTACAATTCTGGCTCTATTTCTTAACTTCTCTGAGTCCAGATTTTGGAGTAAGTCAGACCCAGAATGAATTCTAGCTGTGATCTCCTATCTTGAATTGGAAACAGAGGCAGTATCTCTAGCATGTGATTATGGGGTGAAGAAAATGAGAGTTCTCAACCCAGATGCCCCTCAGTAGATGAATGGATCAAGAAAATGTGGTATATATACACAATGGAATTCTATGTCTCCATCAGAAAGAAAGACATTGCCCCATTTGTTAGGAAATGGAAAGACCTGGAAAAAATTACATTAAGTGAAGTAAGCCAGGCCCAAAGAAACATAGGTTCCATGGTTTCCCTTATTTGCAATAACTAGTATATGTCTGGGACAAATAGAAAAGGTCAAAAGCTATGTACATATGACCAGATAAGATGAAGTTAAATGAAATGAACCCCAAGATATGTACACAAGTGGATTTTTCTTCTTGCTATTGTTTCTAAGGTGTTTATAATGTACTATGTGACTTTTTTATTTCTTTGCATGTTCCTCCCCCATGCTATAACCCCTGTCGTCACTGTGTTTGATGTCAGTGCCCTGCATCTTGTGTATACACTTCTCTAATTTGGGGAGGGGAAGGGAAAAAACAAAATGCTTAAATATGGGGTACAGGTTGACCCATTGTAACAATGAGATGTACAAGACACTATGTTGAAAAACGAACTTTACAATTTAGGCAGGGTGGGGGTGGGGGGATGGGGGAACAGGGAGGAATGTAGTTGTGGAGGTGGGAGGGAAGGGATGGTAGGGGAAAAACAAAGGAGGAGGCAACAATGCTAGATAGGAAATGTACTTATTACCTTGTTCATGTAACTGTAACCCCTCTGTACAGTATTTTTTTTTCATTTTATTTTATTTTATTTTTTTTGTGAACATACTGTACAGAGGGGTTACAATTACATGGGCAGGATAATGCGTACATTTCTTATCAAGCATTGCAGCCTCCTCCTTTGTTTACCCTTCACATCCCTTCCCAGCCTCCCCCCCACCCCCCCACCCAATCCTTCCCCCCCCCCCCCCCCCCGCACCCCTCCCCCAAACCTTCCCCCCCCACGCCCCTCCCTCCCCGCACCAACGTTGTAAAGCTCGTTTTCGACATGACCACTTGTCTGTACAGTAGTTTTACAACTAAAAGGTATTTTAAAAAAGAAAGGAAAAGAAAATGAGAGTTCTCAGGGATCCCTAGCTTTTGAACCACAGACCTGTAGAGAGCCTTGGAGATGTTGTGAAGGGTCCATTCCCTCACTAGAATTTATAGGAAGCTTTTAGTCTATTGGGAACATGTGTGAATTGAGAACATGTGTGCATTTTGGAACCCAGTGGGACTGTGAATAAAACAGTATCAGGGAGTGAGGTTAGTGGAGGAAACAGATCATATCGGCCTTTGTGCCTCAGATAAAGCTCTGTGCTTTTACTGGGAGGTGGATGGGCAGCTCTATGTTTTAGCACCATCGCTCATTCGACAATAGGCTGGATGTGTTTAAGGATAGCAAAGGGGGCCCAGTGTGGTAATCTAGGCAGGAGATGATGCTGTAGTGACCTAGACCAAGAGGGGCAGACTCAGTATGAGGGAAGACTGAATTCTGGGCACATTTGGATGAAATACATATTGTTGGCAAGCTTGGCTGGTAGACTTTTGTAGCATGCAAAAGAAAAGAATCATAAACATAGCAACAAGAATTTTGGCCTGAGCACTCAGAAGAGCTAAGATATATTACAAGGGAGACTGTGGGAAAGCTTGGGATTGAGAGCTGAATTTTAAGCATATGATATTTAATATTAGTTATACAAGTCGAGGTGACAAGAAGGCAACTTTTGATGGAAAAAAATGCAAAAAATACTAATGTTTTTGAAAAAATGTTTTAAAAGTACTATTGAGCCAATAGTAGCACTTTTCCAACAAAGTCTAAAAGTAGAACTGTGACCATACTTGTTGGGGTGGGAAAGAACCTTATTCTGAAAAGATTGGAAATAGAGGTTAAGTTCAAATGAAAATTTTAGTGGCCAATCATGTTATTGCCCTTTTCTTCTCCATTCCTTTAATGTATGCTGGTTTCAAATTTTCTACATTTGAAATCTTAAGTTTATAGAGTTGAAAATTTTCCATTCATTTATTAAAGCTATAGTGTGGAATGGAGCTGTCTGGTAATAAAAGCTCAACCAATGGCAGGATTTTCTTGAGTGGTCCACATTTTCATTTTGGAAAGAAATTAGCATGTTCAGATACTACATGGTGTTTTTTGTTGTTTCTTTGTTATTTTTGTGCTGGTCCTGGGGCTTGAATTCTGGGCATGGTCACTGACCCTAAGAATTTTTGCTCAAAGCTAGTATTCCACTATTTGAGCCACGGCTCCACTTCTAGCTTTTTGGTGAATAATTGGATATAACAGTCTCAGACTTTTCTGCCCAGTCTGACTTTCAATTGTGATCCTCAGATCTCAGCCTTGTGAATAGCTGGGATTACAGGCATGAGCCACAGCCTTACATAGTCAGGCTTACATGGTTTTTGTTTGCTTGTTTTCCCATTTAGCCTTTGACTTGCATTTCATTAGGTGCTTTTTGGAATAAACAGAAGGAGAGTGAGGGAAGTTTCTCATTATTGTGGAACTTATAATAATGTGAGGTAAAGAAATAAACAGTACACCTCATGTAAAATTACTATTACTTTATTGTGATATTGTGTGCGTGTGCCCGTGCGCATGCGCGCACACGTGCATGAGCTGTTACTGGGGTTTGAACTCAAGGCCTGATGCTCTTGCTTAGCTTTTACTTCGAAAGACCAGCTCTCTACCATTTGAGCCACACCTCATCTTCTGGCTTTTTGCTGGTTGATTGGATATAAGAGTCTATCAGATTGTCTACCTTAGCTGTTTTGAACTGAGAATCTTAGCCTCCTGAGTTACAGGCATGAGCCACCAGCACCAGATGATTTTGATGAGCTTGTGCATTATGCAAGCATAATGTGAGCCTCATTTCAGTGCCTGTCCTTGTCAGTCCTATGCAGGGAAATACGTGCCAGCCATTGCACACTATATTCACACCAGAAACTCTGAGAAGAAACTCAAGATCAACCTGAAAGGAATTGCTCTTGGCGATGCATATTCTGATCCTGAGTCGGTAGGTATCTTAACTTTCTTTCCTGTTTGCCCCTTGAAAGAATTAAATTACTGTTAATGAGATGACTCGTATCTCTTACCTGAGAGGCCTGACTTATAAAGGGCACTAACAATTTGACTTTATGACTTAAAATATTTAATTTTTACCAAACATTTCAACCTGTTGGCTTACTATGTTAGCGTTTGTTGGCTGTCAGGAAAAGTATACATTTTGTTATGCCCTGTTGCACATATGTTCATTATGTTGTGTGACCTGTGTGTTTGTGTTGTATTTGAGTGTTTGTGTAAGAGGTGGGGAGTATATGTATAATTGTCCTCTTGACTCATTTCAGTACAACACTGACAGTTTCTAAATATTGCATTGTGAAGCCAGTGGGTTTCCTGACCCTCTTTCTCTCTTTCCTTCTCTCTCTGGCATCTGTGTCTCTTTTTGTCTCAGATTATAGGGGGCTATGCAGAGTTCCTGTACCAAATTGGCTTGCTGGATGAAAAGCAGAAACAGTACTTCCAGCAGCAGTGCGATGAGTGCATAAAATACATCAAGAAGAAGAAGTGGCAAAAGGCCTTTGAAGTGAGTCCTGGGGCCCTGTGTTGCCCTTGAGCAATTAAAACCATCTGAAGTAGAGGAGGGGCCCATTGAAGCACCATGGTGCTCAGGCATTTCTGTGTGGGAGAGGGGATATCTCTTCTGCTGTCTAAGATCGGGGCAAGATGAGTGGGTGCCTAATGAAGAAAACCGCTGGCTGTGTTTCTTTGAATTTACTTTGGCTTTATTTTAAACCCAAGATCATTTTGGAGTGTTTATCTGATTGTGTCTTTCATTAACTGTCCTGATTTCTTTAAATTCAGTGTAGGATCTGAAGGCATAGTCTATCATATGGAAATCAGATGAAAGGCAACCTGGGAAGTAGATGCATAAGCTTCCACAGATGCTCTAAAACCACACAGCAGAGTTATATCCACAAACAGGGCTTTGGCTGCAGAAGGGCCAGAGTGGGCAACATATGTCACATGTTCCTCTGGGTCAGGAACAAAGACTAGAAAGAGTAATAACTTGAAACTTTTACAGAGAACCATTGGTATTTGTCAGTATCATTACAATGCTCCCTTAAAAGAAAACTTGAGGACCTGATAATATAGTTAATAATCTTGTTTTCTAAACTTTCTTCTTTCTTTTTTTCTTATTTAAAATGTAAGAGTGTATTAAATGCTATGATATAGGAAGTGGCATGTTTCTGGTTGTGCTTTCTTTTTTAATTTTTAATTTTCTAAGCAAAGGCCATGTGCAAGCAATCTTCCTTTGGGGCTTTTGGTTGTATTTGCTATATTTATTTACAGTAAAGTCATCCTGTTGAAACACTGGTAAATGGAGCATTGGCTGGATCTGGAGGACCTCTGGCTGTGACTGAACCTGTACATACATATAGCATGTATGTGAGCAGCTAAAGTCATTACAGTCATTAAGGCAGGGGCTTGTTGGTAATGGCCTTTTGCACCCTGCAGATAAGGCAGTTCAGATCAAAACAGGGGCATATACATTTGAGGATGTAGGGGGTAACTTAATGGTGTCCTTCATTTTACACAGAAGATGTCAGGATACTGCCTGAAATCCCCCACAGCAGTGACCACCCTTCTAAGGATTTCGATAGCAGGAAGCTGTACAAGTAAATTGAGAGAGGGAAGTCTCAGCCACCCAGCAGGAGGCTAATAGGCTCTTCTTTCTGTGTCAGGAAAGCAGATGTGGCTGCAGAGTGTGATTCAGAATTTCTTGGTAATTCTATGAAGGAAGAGGGTTTTTACTGGAGCCATAGACAATCATGCTTTAACTAGCAGTGATTGTATTTTCAAGATGGGTTTTAGGTTGTCTGTGAGGATAGTCAGGAAAGGGGAAGTAAGAAATAATGAAAATTTAGAATTAATAGAAAATTCTATATGGTGTGGCACAAATTTGAAAATGAGACATTTTGTGTGTGTGTGTGTGTGTGTGTGTGTGAGTGTGTGTGTGTTTAAAGAAGCAAGTGACTACTAAATGTCAAAAAATTAGAGAGACATGAAGATATGAAGAAAGCAGAGAGATATGCTATCACAGCCTAGGTACCAACAGGATTTGTGAAGTTGTGGAAAAGCCCAGGTATTTTGTGCTTTGTAGATAACGAAGCTATGATTTGGGTTAAATGGAGTCTTTCTCAGACTACATATATTCAGATAAGAACACATGATATCTTTTTTCCCATTGACCCAGTATCTTGAATAATAGATTAAGGAAATGTAAAAGCTTTCATTTTCACAAGGGAAACAGACAAAACGATACTTACTATAGAGAAACCCCAAGAAATCATGAAATCCAAGAGGATACAAATGTCAACATCTCAAGCCTAATGGATTCATCCATTTGATTCTCTGGTCCTTTAAAATGATGTCGTTGGAGCTGGGAATAGACTTAGTGTAGAGTGATTGCCTAGCATGCATGAAGCTATGGGTTCGATTCCTCAGCACCACAGAAACAGGAAATGCCAGAAATGGTGCTGTGGCTCAAGTGGTAGAGTGCTAGCTTTGAGCAAAAGAAGCTTAGGGACACTGCTTAGGCCCTGAGTTCAAGTCTCAGGACAGGCAAATAAATAAACAAATAAACAACCAACCAAACAAATAAATAAAATGATGGGATTGACAAAAGAACCAGGGTAATTCCCTAGCTCAGAGATAGAGGGTCTCATCACCCCTTCCTGTCCCCATCCCCCAGAGCTGATAACAATCACTGGAGACATGCAAAGGACCCATACACAGATTGTGGTAGGCAAAGGGTAGAACCCCCTCCCCCATTCCTATATAGTGTTTCTCCAACAGCAATTTTTCAGGTATTCTGTAAGAGTCCTGATCCTGGACATTATAGAGATCAGCAAAACGGCTGATCTCTTTTTTCTGTCTCCTCTCCCTTCTAGTAATGGTATTCTGGATCACAGAAAGTTCTTTGTAAAATGAGTTTTAATGAGAAGTTGGATTTCTGTGATGGTGACTGAACTATCTGCCTTATTTGTTTGACCACAAATGACTTCAAAAGCAAATCCATTCTTAGAGGTTGATTTTTCATTCTTATAGACCTCACAGTCTGTACCCACGCTGAGTAGATAGATTAGAAAAGACAACTTTTCGGGGTTGACAGCAATCCTGAGGGCGTAGGGCTTGGCAAACAGATGTCACCATTGAATGACACTGCCCTCTGACAGGGTATGCACAGCTTGACTAACAGAGGTCTGTCTGGTTCCCTTCCTTCTTACCACTCAGTCAAGATTCATGTTGAACAGAATCTGCACAGACAGATGCAGGGTCACAACGTGACCGGAATGCATTGAGGACCAGGAAATAGGGAAGTCTAACTGTTGACAAGGTAGCACCTGTGCGGTGAGGATCTAGATGAAGAGTCAGGGCCTGGCCTTGCATCCTGCCTCTGCCAGTCAGCGTATGTGAGGTGTTCCTAGGGGAGGGACTTCTGTGTGTCTTAATTTCCTCACTTAAAATTTGGATACCAAGAACATCTTGCAAGAACCTAAACTCATACTTTAGAGATGACTTTTAAATTATGCTGCATTGACTTTTTAAAATCTTTTTTTTTATAAGAACCCTTTGCAACTTAATATCATCAGCTGTGGCTGATCCATCCAATTTATCCAATTCTGGCTTCTTTGGGATGATGTGTCCCCTCAGATCCTCCTAGATGGGGGCTGTGCGCTCTCTCTTTCTGTAATTCCTGACTCATAGACTCATGTCTTTTTGCTGCTTCAGGTCATAGATGGTGACTTCTGCTATAGCACTGGCCTCAGATGGAGCCTCGCCACTTCTTAGGATGATGATCTACCACCTCTGGCTCACTGTTTACCTTCTCTTACTGCTGTAGCTCCAGTCTCCTGTCACTCCTCTCACAATTCCTCATGATAGCAGTATCTGATTGAATGGTTGTTTGCATAATTGATCCTTTAGTTTGTTTGACTCCTTTTTTTTTTTTTTAAAGTGATTTTGCTTTACACCTTATCCTAGTTTCTCATTCCCATTACAAATAAAATCCCTATCAACCAGTCCACAAGCTCAATTTTCAACATATTTCTCCCACTATCACCTCCTGTCCCTCACATGTGCTATTATAAACTCTGGTATTCTGAACCCCTTTCCACTGTCTCCTTACCCATAGATAATACTACCTCTTTATGGGATCACACTCTTTGGTCTTCACTTCTTCATTTGAATCCACAATGATATGTCTCCAGTCCCTAAAGTCCCTTAGCCTTTCCATTAACTCTTTTGGCTAAGCCACAACCCTGGCTAAACCACTCCTCTTCCACTACAGGACAGTCCCTGTGTAGCTGCACAGAGATAAAGGAGAGCACCCAGCCGTGCTGACCACTCCTGGCCTCCTGATGACCAAGATTTTTATGTCTTCAGTCCGTAAATATCTCCCAGTATCCCTAAGGACTTCCATCTATGCCTGCATCCTCTGATTTCTCTCTCTCTTCATGGCCCATAACCCATGCTAAGAAACCCTGACTGACACAGTCAAAGCAGCTGTTTCTTCTACCTGGAATGTTTTCCTCACTCATCTGAATGATTTCCCTGCCGCCTTTCCTCTCTCTCTCCCTCCCTCCCTCCCTCCTTCCCTCCCTCCCTTCTTTCCATCCCTCCCTCTCTCCTCCCTTCCTCCCTCCCTCCCTCCCTCCTTCCTTCCTTCCTTCCTTCCTTCCTTCCTTCCTTCCTTCCTTCCAAATGTCATCTTCTCAGTGAGACTCTCTGTCATTATTGTCACAGTTACACATACTACTGACATTTTCTACTAGTTTTCTGCCCTCTTTATAATTCTCTAATATACTACATGGTTGTCATTCTAATTTATAGAGTAATACTTGCTTATTATCTCCCCTAGGATATAAGCTCCATGAGGGAGGACTTTAGTATGTCTTTTAGGTTTATCTAATTCCTGGCACAAAGAAGCTGTGCAGGAAATGCTGACTTTATGAAATGATAAAGATGTAAAAATTACTGATTAAATGAAGTAACAAACTCCTGTGCATGCTTACCACTCCAACGATATTCTTCTTTCTCTTCCTCTCTGTTGATCTAGATACTGGATAAACTCCTAGATGGAGACTTGACAAGCGACCCATCTTTCTTTCAGAATGCTACAGGATGTGCTACTTACTATAACCTTTTACAGTGCACGGTAAGCACAAATTTTAGTAACCATAATCACATTTGCTTCAAATTTCTGACAAAACTAAACATCTTCTTATCTGGGATATATTATAGCGGACTACTAGATAAGTATTTCTAAGCTTATTGCATGATTTAGGCTTCTAATTCATGGGATTAGTTTCCCACCAACATTGTGTATAGCATAATCCGCCCATTGAGAATGTATATTGTCCCTGATGAGTCCAAAGTTTCTGTGTGTGTGTGTGTGTGTGTGTGTGTGTGTACATTCTAGTACTGGAACTTGAGCTCAGGGCCTCACTTAGCTTGTCTTTTGCTCAAGACTGGTGCTTACTCCTTGAGCCAAATATCCACTTTCAGCTTTTTTCTGGTTATTTGGAAAGAAGAGACTCACAGCCTTTCTCGCCTGGATTGGCTTTGAAATGCAATGCTTAGCTCAGCCTCCCTAGTAGCTAGGTTTACAGGTGTGAGCTACCAGCACCTGGCAAAAATTTCTCATTAATGCAGTTTGTTTTTTCCCCACCTAGAGTTCATTCCACGGAGGAGACTTTGTGAAGGCTGCCGGCTACAGCTATATTTTATGTGTATTAGATCTCAGCTTCAGGCCTGTTTATGAGTGTCTTGAAAATGGCACAATCTTCATTCTGCCCTTCAGATGGCCTGGATAATCAAACCTGCCAAAGCCTTTATGAAAATATTTGCTTTGTTTCACTTTTAACTTAAGATGTTTAGAGCTTTTAGTGCAGCCCTCACTTCAAGCTCTCTGGAATATGAAAGTATTCAAGTAGCTTCTTTTATAAAAGTAGGTCAAAGTTGGCCTCCTTTATGTAGAATTGATCAAATAAGAGAGAAGGATCCAAAGCGGGATTTGGATTCATGTAGTCTTTGTCTAGAGCATATTAACCATGCATTCAGCATTATTTATGAACTATTTGTAAATAAAATGCAATGCAAATTCAAGTGGAATTTCCTAGCCCTGTGGGAAAAAAAACATATGGTAGGAAAGAGAAATGAAATTTGTGATTGAAATATTTTTTTCTCTACAAAACAATATATTCACAGCAAATATTGCTGGTGAAGCCCAAAACTGTGAAACAGTTATTTTGCCTTTTTCTCACTTGAAATTTCCTTAAAGCCATTTACTTGTTTTTCTTTTAGTATAGTGTTCACTACAAAATTTATTTGCAGTGTCATTGGGTTTTGTGTATGTGTGTGTATGTGTGTATATATGTGCATGTGTGTGTTATTTTTTTGTTTGTTTGTTTTTGCCAGTCCTATGGCTTGAACTCGGGGCCTGGATACTGTCCTTAAGCTTTTGAGCTCAAGGCTAGCTGTAATCACTTGAGCCACAGGTTCACTTCTGGCTCTTTGGTGCTTAATTAGATGTAAGAGTCTCCTGGACTTTCCTGGCTGGATGGGTTTGAACCAAAATCCTTAGATCTCAGCCTCCTAGGAAGCTAGGATTACAGGCATGAGCCACCAGATTCCAGCCTAGTGTTACTCTTTCTTAAAAAATAAACATAGATAACTTTTGTTTGTGTCATTCGTGAAATATCATTTGTGTTGTTTGTTTTTTCTACTTATCTATTTTTAATTATTTATAAATACAATGTATTTTGAGGAACATCACCCCTTTCAGTATTCTCACCCATCCCTTCCCTCGCTCTTCTTAATTTTGTAAGGATATACACTGAATTCTTGACTGCATTCTCTCCTCTTTTCTCCATTCATCTACTTCTTTCCTCTTGACCCCACCCTTACCCTTTTCAAATACTTCCTTCCTGGTGTTTATTTTGTTGAACTTGGATTTTGCCTAAGGAATTAACACTATTTGAGTTCTCCCTTGAATCTACTATTTTAAAGGTATTTGCATATACTTGCATATCCCTTAATGTATTTTCTTACAAGTTATTTGTTTGTGTATTTGACATAATCCCCCTTTAAACTATGGTCAGCTGATATTTGTGTGTTTTCAATGAACAAGAGGACAAGGAAAATAAATTCTCATCTTTTAATCGGCCACACTGCCTCTTAGAATGCACTTGACCTTCCATTCCCAAAGCTACCAACAAAGAATGACTAATTTGCATAATCTTCACCTCAGTTCTTCCCCCACATTTGTCTCCAATGCTAACCATAGTTACAGTTCACAAAATATTAGGTCCTGAAAAAAAAAATACAACCTGTACAAATTGGTTCTTGACTCTAAATAGATTGAATTATCCAGATTCATTTTAGTACGAGGTTGTCACTTAAGTTATTTCAAAACTACATCTTTAAAATTTCAAGTTTTCGGGCTGGGAAGGTGGCTCAGTGGTAGAGCGCTTGCTTTGCATGCATGAGGCCCTGGGCTCGATTCCTCAGCACCACATAAGCAGAAAAATAAAAGCTGGAAGTGGTGCTGTGGTTCAAGCAGTAGAGCACTCCCTTGAGCTCAAGAGCTGAGGGGCAGTGCCCAGGCCCAGAGTTCAGGCCCTACGACCATGCCCCCCCAAAAAACAAACAAACAAAAATTTCAAGTTTTCTCTCCTATGTGGTAGGTAGTTCTAAACTATGAGCATATATGGAGTCCTATGCATACATACACAAACATATTAACTAATGTATGATCTACACAGGAGAAGGATTCTAACATAAATGCTTCGAACAACAGTTTAACAAAATGAAGACCAGGAAGCTAGAACATTGGTTGTTGGGGAGATGAAGTCAAGGGGAGGGAGAAGATAAATGGAGAAGGGAAGTGTAGGTGAATGCAGTCATAACACTCAATGAATGTGCATATGTGGAAATTGAACTAGGTAAACTGAGGGAATAGGTGAGGTTGGAGAGATGGGTGACACTAATCAGGATGCATCCTACTCAAACTGACAGGTTGAATGGAAACTCCTTTGTACAACCACTTAAAGATAATTTACAAATGTATTAAAGATGATATTTTAGCAGTTATGCTATAGCTTGCTTATTGGGTTATATGTTATGAGAGAATCATACATTTTCCCTACATGCTATTCTGACACTAACTTACATTTTCAACTATCTTTCCAGGAACCTGAGGACCATGAGTACTTTGGGAAATTTCTGTCTCTCCCACAAGTGAGAAGAGCCATCCACGTGGGAAACAAGACCTTCAGTGATGGCGCTACAGTGGAAAACTACCTGAGGGAAGATACCATGAAATCAGTTAAACCTTGGCTCACTGAAATCATGAATAACTATAAGGTACATAATCCACTTCAATTGCTGCTACATAAGAAATCTTGGAACAACCTAGGGTAAAAATGACTTCCTTTTATATGTAATTTCTCTCCTATCTCTTAAAAGGAATCTTTTATTACATTTATAAACAAGAACAGGCTTGGTTTTTGTTATTGTTGTTGTTTTGTTTTATTTTTGGCTTTTTTTTTGTGCCAGTAAGTAGTGTTTGAACTCAGGGTCTGGGCACTATCATTTAATCTTTTCACTCAAAGCTGTCATAATTGAGTCATAGCTCTACTTCCAGCTTTTTGGTGGTTAGTTAGAGATAAGAGTCCTACGGATTTTTCTGCCCAGGCTGGCTTTGAACCACAGTACTCAGCTCTACACTTCTTGAGTAGCTAGGATTACAAGTATAAGCCACTAGTACCTGTCTTTATTGACTATTTTAAATGAAAAGTTTTATGGCTTTTCTTTAAATCATTTCCCCCTAATCATTCCTTAAAATTTCTGTTGTACATTCTAGCTCTCATCATTTCTTGAGAAAAAGACTAGCAGAGCAGACAAAACCCCCTGTGTTCTCTTATTGTTTGCTTTATAATGGGAATTACAGTAAGATCAGGGAAAATGAAATCAACTAGCTATTCCCAAAATGTATTTGGCCTAATAATTATGCGCATCCACTTTGCTCAGTGATGGACACGTCAGTGTTTGCTGTAAGACAAACACTTGGCTGCACTGTGAGGCTGAAATAATGAATGAAAAAGGTCCCTGCTCTGACCATGTCATGTCAATATTGTGTCATCTGCTTGAGATGATTTGCCTGAAGTTACACACAGCAATGAAACCATAAGAAGTAGCCCTGCAGGTCCAGACAAAGGGGCCTAGAATTCATGCTCCACCTCTCAGGGAGGGAGGATACCCAGACCAAGTGACCTGTAGAAAAAAATCATCCTATGTACCTTCTTTATTTGTCCTATAATCCTACTCTCTCATGTCCCCTCTGATCTTCCAGCCTGTTAACATTCATCCTAGGATGAATATTGGTCTGTGGGTCAAGACTGAGGGATCATTTCACTAAGAACAAAGGATTTTGCCAGCTTACTCCATGTATCAGGCAGAGGCAAGGGTAATAGGATGAATAAAAAAAGAAGAGAGCTAATAGTTCCTAAAGTACATTTTTCTGAGTTAGACAAAAACATTCTTTCCCCAGAATACTTCTTACCTATCAGAAATTGTCCTGAATATGCTGCTTTTGCTAGAACAAGACTCCTTATTGCATTTTTCAGCCTGAGAAATATACATTTCTTTAATGCTTACGTTAAGAATAGTGACCTTTGGGATCTTTGACCAACTGTACCCTTACTGGGTTGCATTTCAAGATAGTCCAGCACTGGTCTGCCCGTTTCTGGTCCTATCCTTAGTATATACAGAATCTGACATGTAACTATTTTTTTTTAATAATCTAATGTCAGAAACGTCCTAACTAGATCAGGCCAACATTTCAGTCATCTTGTATTTGGTTCTGCTGGGAAACATAGTGCTTGCCTGCTGTAAGCACTTTCAGAAACATTGCTGCCGTGTCCTATATAAGCTGTCTCTGCCCTTTGTTATATTCATCACAAAGTACTACCATCATGAACTCTCATCTGATACCCATCCTGGCACCCGCTTGGAGCAGATGTCCAGGCTCAATGAATAACTGAAGGGAAAATCAGTGCTATGACAAAAATATATCTAAAAAAATGTGTCCATAATCTGGTAGTATTTATCATCTACCCATTTAAAAAGAGATTACCACTTGTGTTTTCAGGCATCAATAATCTGCTATAGTATAACATTAAAGAATTCAGAGTACGGGCTGGGAAGGTGGCTCAGTGGTAGAGTGCTTGCTTTGCATGCACAAGGCCTTGGGTTTAAGTCCTCAGCACCACATAAACAGAAAAAGTCAGAAGTGCCACTGTGGCACTAGCCTTCAGCTGAAGAGCTGAGAGACAGCATCCAGGCCCAGAGTTCAGGCCCCACAACTGACCAAAAAAAAAAAATTCAAAGTAGCTTTTTAAGACAATAGTTTTAATTTTTAATTTCACTTCTATTAGCTTTCTCTTTTTAAATTTTATTTTATTGCAAAGATACTGTACAGAGGGGTTACAGTTACATGAGTAAGGCAATGACTACATTTCTGGTCAAACACTCCTTTGTTTTTCTCCCCCATTCCTCCCCCATTCCTCCCCCACAAGATGTAAAGTTCATTTCCAACATAGTGTCTTATGAGTATCATTGCTGCATTGGGTCATCCTCTGTCCTTGTGTCAGCATTTTATTATTCCCCTCCCCAAATCAAAGTAGTTTTTTGAGTGGAGGAAGTAATTGTACATTTGTGCATTGTTTGTACAGTGTTTGTACCCTTGGGAGATATATTTCCTGGTTGTACAAATTTCATCAGAATATAATTCCTTTCTTAATCATGTGAGAACAGAGTGGGACAGACAGCTTACATAATTGCATAAACCATTCCAATATCCTGATGTGAAATCATTACCATGGACTCTGCTGGATTAATGAAAGAAGATATATTGAATAGAATTAAGTTTCAATTTTGATATTTAAACATCTAGCCCTGTTGCCCATGTAACCCAAACCTGCTGTTTTGGTCTGTCAAGGCCGCTATAACAGACTGGGTGATTTATAAAGGCAAGACTATGTAAACAAATCAGTAACAAACACTTACTGCTCACAGTTCTGGGGACAGGGAAACCAAGATCAGACAACAGCAGATGTATATTCTGGTAGGGACTTGCTCTCTGCTTCATATTTCCTTCTTGCTATGTTTGCATATGGCAAAAAGAACTGAGACTTTTTTTTTATAAGGGTGAGTCTTAACCTTTTTAATACTATCACAATGGGCATTAGATGTAAGCATATGGATTTTGGGGTGGACACAAATTTCCGTACTATCGATATGGTATCCAATGATACCTATCAACATGGATTCCAATGAAATTGTCATGCTTTCTATACGTTTCAACTCTGATTTGTTTCCAGAAAGAGAACAACAGCTTAATGTGAGAAGCCATGTTTGTGAATGCTAACCAAAAAGCATTTGCTGCTAAACCAGAGTGCATATTCCTTGATAAAGCTGTCAGAGCCATTTGGGTAGCTATTTTTGTTGGCTTCTCTGTTATTGATGGTGATCCTCCAGTGTATATAATGGAATAAGAACAACATAGGTTGCCTTAAGATATCAGTACCCTTAAAGCTATTTATGTAAGACTCGGTTCTAATTTATCATAGAAAGTAGCCTACCTGTTTCTATTTATAAAAACAGAAGTCTTTTTTCCAGCCCTAGATTCATTGCCTCCACTGTGGAGCATCTCTTATAGCACAAGTGCCTTTGCTAGGGTCTGGAATTGTGTCCATGTAGTTTCTGCATAAACAACTACATGAAAACATAATCAGGCTCTTGTAATGGCCCACAGGGAATGCATAGTCAAAGTCATTTTCTTTTTAGTGATTTCAGATGTTTGGAATATCGCCTTGGTAATTTCCAAAATAACTAGCATGAGAAGAAAATCTGCTGGGCTATTTGACTTGTTCATGATTGAACCAGGTCAAATTATTATCAAGACTTTTAGGAGCCATCTAGAAAAGGAGGATGGTAGTCTCACATTTGGACTCTGAGTTCTGGTTCCACCACTCACTCACTGTGGCCCTTTGGAGAGGACACTTAGACTTCTGTGCTCCTGTTTCCTGTTGTTTAAAATGGGAGGAAAAAATAGCACTTTGTTGCCAATGATTTCAAGGCTCAAATGAGATTACATAAGTCTGGTTAAAATACAATATATGTATGTGTGCATTAACCACAGTGAAAATCCCTTTGTACAATTCACATACATTGAAGTAGTATGTGTACAACATTATGTGCTGTATACGTGAAGGACAGCTTCTGTTGTGGTACCAGTGGAAGGGGAAGGAAGATGAAAAGAGACAGTGAAGGAGAGGGAATACAGTTGAAGTACTTTATATACATGTTTCAAAATGGAGCAATGAAACCAGCTGGGTGCTGGTGGCTCACGCCTGTAATCCTAGCTACTCAGGAGGCTGAGATCTGAGGATTGAGGTCCAAAGCCAGCCTGGACAGAAAAGTCCGTGAGACTCTTATCTCCAATAAACTACTCGAAAACCAGAAGTGGTGCTGTGGCTCAAGTGGTAGAGCGCTGGCCTTGAGCTGAAGAGCACAGGGACAGCGCTGAGGCCCAGAGTTCAAGCCCCACGACTGACCAAAAACAAAAAAAAAAAAATTGGAGCAATGAAACTTGTTAAAACTGTTTTCAGAAGAAGATGAGAAACAGTGATAGAGGGGAGTGAAATTTGACCAGGCTACATTGTATGCATGTTTGGAAATATGTACCCCCCCTTGTACAACTAATATATGCTAACATATGAATTCCAATCAGGGTACATTGTATGCATGTATGGAAATATCACAATGGAACTCCTTTGTACAGCTAATATATGCTAATAAAAATATTTTAAAACGTAGTGCCTGATGGCTAGAGAGTTTCTAAGTTAAACCTATTACCAAGAATGTGCCACAAGATTCAGCAAAATTCTCTCAGAGCCTGTTACATATAAAGTTACACAAGAAACCCTGCATAACATAAAAATAAAAAGCCTTGACAGACTTCCATTTCCTATCTGTTTATAAAGAACGTAGAAGGCACCGTTCTGTGCTAACAGTAAAAAGCTGAACAAACAAGTCTTAAATTTGTGAGAAAAAAAATGAGGCCTAGAGCAAGCCGCTGACACCACCTTCCCCCCCATGTCTGCCCCTCCCCCACCCCTCCGGAGAGACAGAGAGAGGAGTGTACAGAGACAAGACTCATAATGGAAACTCAGGAGGAGGAACCTCACAGACTCAATATGGAGATAGGAACACCACAACTGCAACTAATGAGTTACCAGAGGCCCCATGTGGACCAATCTGAGAGATGAATATTCAGAGGGACCCAGACATGGGTGAAACAC